CCCCAAAACCCCAAAACCCCAAAACCCCATAATACTTGATATACAATGACTTATTTATTGCATAATCAGAAATCATTGTTGTATTATTAACTGTTTAACTAAATTAATTATTCTTTCTCAACTTCAAGCTCTAAATTAAATAGCATTTTAATATTAATAAATTGCAGTGATAACATTTCTCGGACTTGATAATAAATCAGCCCATGCTTTTTAGATTAACTCATCAATGCTTCCACTAGCAATTATGTCTGTGTCAATCATAGCAAATTCCACGAAAGCACTTTTATTCGTGTTTTTGACAATCTATATTTTTATATGTTCCTAATACTAATTACTTACATTAACATCTCCATAAACTGAAAAAATGGCAGATATTTCATATATAGTTGTATCATGAATAAATTCAACAAAAATTGCAGATTTTTCCATTCTCTTTTGAAATTCTTTTTCATCCTAAGTCAATTTACCTATAGTGCTCTTCATAAATAATTAAATATACCTTCAAGTGAAAAGTATCTGGGAATATCAGTACTCAAAATGATTTGATTTTTAAATTCTTTCAAGTCAGGATAGTATATCTATTTATTTTATACCATTGAATAGTGCTTGATGCCTCTTCCATTTTATAAGAGTTTACTAGGTGAATCTTATAATTTTTCAATTTTCTAAGGACTCTAGGAAGTCTTATAACCCATGTCCTCATCATCAACTACAAGAAATATTTCTTAGATTTCTTAGAATTCTTCCTTATTATCCGTTTCTTAATCATTTTGTAAAAGCTAATTCTTCTATTTTTTACCTTTCTTTGCTTTTCGAGAATTGCTATTTCCATTATTTATGTTGTCTTAGGAAAAATATTCAATTTATTTTTCTCTAAGTCTTGCTGGTTCAATGATCTTTCCAATTTCAATGTATTTGGATATGCAAGCGAAAATATACCCAGTCATATAAGCATCATATCCAGCATCATGCTCCTATCCAATGCCATCATACAAGCCAAATATAGAATCCTATTCTTTATCCAAACTAATATTCAAGTTATTTCTAAGCTTCTTATCATTTACACATTTATTGTAAAGATTTTTTAAATCTGTCTGGTAAAAATAATTTGTTGATAATGATATAGCCTTTGTGTCATATGTCTCCGGAAATCTTTATAACCAAGACCTTGCAAATAGTTCAAATGAATTAGGTAGATCACCAATAAAATGTCTATATATAAATACTGCATCATACATCATATTATGACCAACAATTGGTTTTTTAGAATCTATTATTATCTAGATTACTCTACTAAACCCTAATTCATAATTAAATAGAGTGTTGACCTCCTAATCCAGCTAGATTTGAATGATATTTTTGTCTTAAATACCCTCTTTTTGTTAATGAGGATTACTGTCATTAGCATTTTCATCTTTAACAATATTTGGTCTATCAACAGTTTGATATTCCTCTTTCATTTCCTCATCATCTGGTATTTCAATTGTAGATTAAGATTCTTTTTCCTCGGTTGGCACATTTTCTCTCAGAAATTAAGTTTGCCTAAAACTTTTACTCTTCTTGACTATGGTATCAGTGGAATTTCTTTGAAACTCAGTAAAAACACCTGCTCCCATGTAAACTCTAGTCACCTCTCTATAGCTAGTTATTGAATGATGAGTTACTTAGAGAGAGCCTTCTTAAGGCTGTAGGAAGGAATTTAAAAAGTTAATCTTTCATAGGAATTTTAGTCATATACCCATAATTCTATTCGCTTCATCATTTCCTCAAGTTCTTTTTAGTGAGTTGCACTTAAAGCTGTATAGGATCTGATTGAAGGAAAGTTCTTCGTGATTTTATAATAGCATTGCTATTTTAAGTCAATTTGCTTATCTAATTAGTAATAAGCCTAAAATAAAATTGTATTAAATATTATCAAGTTTTACTAGTGCTTATCCAAAAAGTTTATTGAAGTCAAAGTTATGTTATATTAAAAACTATACAGCTGAGGCCTAATATAATAATTATTGAAAGTTAAATCTCACCTAGAACATCTTAAGGTTGTCATTAATTTTAGATTTAGGAAATATGTAAAAACTGAACGGCCTGCATTTATATTTCTTAGCAGACTCATCCCATCTAAAGCAGCACAATCCAATTTACAAAGCTGAAAATCTTTGTACTGCTGCTTTTATCTTCTAATACCTTACTTCAACTGAGTCATACTCGCAAGATTTTTCATCGTCATTTGCACAATATCCTTAAATCATATTGAAATTCAATTTCTTACCAGAAAACTCAGTATCAATAGATATGAAGTCTGCTTGGAAGATACTATCCTCAATAAGGGGTAGCTAAAGACTAAAGTTATCATTAAGAATCTCCATGAATAAAATCTCAATAAGTAATTAATAGTATTAAAACCAAATAATGTAAATCAATCGCTAATTTAATTCGCTTATAAAACTAAAATATTCAACAAAAGCTTGAATCCAATCCACCAAATTCTGCCAATTCATTGAACTTTTTATTAATTAAATCTACTCCTCTACTCTATTACATCTCCTTGATGAACTATTTATCTTCTAAAAAAGTATTCTTTATTGCTTTTATACATAAGCTTTATCTTTCAGCACGACTTTGATCCTTAGAATGATCACCATTATAAGTTTTTCGGTAAGCCCTTTCCCATAAATGATACACCACAGTCTTTGGAGGAGAATATAATTCATATCCCTTCTTATAGAATTTATAAATCTAATAGATTTCCTCTCCAAAAAATAAGTCATCAATAAATGTATCAGAATTAGTAAAATTTATTTCATATCCACAGTCTTCAATTATTTTCCCATATGAAAAACTGAATCCTGCTGCCCAGAATAAAGATTTGAAGGGCTTTTTAAAATCATCAGATTTCTTAATAATCTTTGAACTGAATCTTGGAAGACCATCTATTTTTGAAAATTCCTTGAAGGCCATAACTAAAGGTCCCTCAAGGCTATCTTTTTATTTAAAATCTTAATCTACCTTATAAGGTCTAGGATATATTGTTAATATAGATTTTTAAGGTTCAGAGCATTAATTTAGATAGCCAATTAAGATTTCATCCCAATTCTATACAAATCTCATATGAGAATCTATTTATAGGTAGTAAGTCTCTTGCTTATATAGTCTTTATACTTTGATTCTTGCATAATAAGCATTTTTAGCTTCTTTATAATCGACCTCATCAATGCTGAAATTGCACAAGTCCTTATACTATTAAATAATTTCATTTAAATTGTTTTTCATTTTTTAATCATCTTAATCTTCTAAGTTTAGCTATATAAATATTCCAAAATGCAGCTTGCTTGGATATTTACTATTATCAATTATACTTTATATTGTATCCACTAATTATGGATCTCTATAAGAAGGGATTCCAATAAATAAAGTACTGTTTTCATCACTAACTAATTTATTTTCTACTTTACTTAGACTTGCGCTGTGAATATGTCGGAACCAAGTTGTTACAGCAAATCTTTGATAGCCGACTGTTGGCTTAACTTCATGCTCTACACTTTCACTTTTAAATAAAATTGATCTGTTCAAATGAGGGACTATATCAACAATCTTTTCTTTGAGATATAATCTTAACTAGCCAAGTTTGTTTGTTTTTACTTCCTTAATCTATTCAAGATTGGGATTTAGATAAGTTATTAGTGTGTATTTTCTCATTTTCTGATTATCTGCCAAATTATTTTCATCTAATCTAAATGCATCTTTGTGTCTTAAATAATACTCGCCTGAGCCATTATAGCTTGCTAATTATACCTCAAAATCACTAATCTAATTAATGGGTTTTTCATACATATTAATTTTTGCTGATAAACTTGTCATTTATTGAACTAATTTCTAAAGATTCTAAAGCTTTTGGCTATTTTCTTAATCATTTTAATCACTAAAATTTTTAGCAAGATAAGAAAGCCAGATAAACTGATCACCTCTAACTTTTTTATCTTTAACATAATCACTATCTTTACCATAGCCAGAGTCTTTAAGCATGCCTGATTATGATAATTATTCTGCTTCAGATCTGCAATCAATTAAAAACTAATCATATTCATTGATTTCACCTAAAATATCTTTTGGATTATCAATTACTAGATAATCCACTTCATTTTGAATTAGACTAAGCAATTTATCTTCATTTAGATAATTAACATCAGGGTCGAGCGAGTCTATTTGTATTACATCTCTTGGATCAATCATATCTAAGAGCTAAAATTTAGTTTTTGCATCTAATTTCTAGCCTAATATTGCAGCAAGATTCATGATGTCGATATCTTTATTTTTACTTTCCATTTTAATAAATAATTATAAATGCTTTGAATAAAGAATTTAACTTTCAATAATTCTATTTGAAGCATTATGGGGTTTTGGGGTTTTGGGG